GAGAACAAAATCCAAAGGCAACAACTGGAGTGCACACAAAGCACTACGAGCTAACTTTCACTTCTCTCTGGGTTTTATGTCGGAATCTCCCCCGTCCCTCTTCTTCCAGTGCAGATTCATACCTCTGTTCTCATTACTTGTCCACCACCATCTACAATTCTATATTCTCACTTTTTACATTTCATGTCAAGTTGCGCCCGCCTAAGGCTCATTCATGAGATATGGGAACCAACACTCAACTACTAGCCTGTCGGCGGCACTTAATTAGTCTCAAAACCCACACTCTCAAAAGTCCACATGATTCAAGTGCACCGAAAAGTAACCGTGAGCAAAAAAGAACAAAGATACAGGTGCTGGCCAGTAAATTAGAATATCATCAAAAGGTTGAAAATATTTCAGTAATTCCATTCAAAACGTGAAACTTGTACATTATATTCATGCAATGCACACAGACCAATGTATTTCCAATGTTCATTACATTTAAATTTGATATTCATAAGTGACAACTAATGAAAACTCCAAATTTGGTATCTCAAAAAATTAGAATATTCTGAAAAGGCTGAATATAGAAGACATCTGCTGCCACTCTAATCAGCTGATTTACTCAAAACACCTGCAAAGGCCTTTAAAAGGTCCCTCAGTCTTGTTTTGAAGGCACCACAATCATGGGGAAGACTTCTGACTTAACAGCTGTCCAAAAGACAATCATTGACACCTTGCACAAGGAGGGCAAGACACAAAAGGTGATTGCTAAAGAAGCTGGCTGTTCGCAGAGCTCTGTGTCCAAGCACATTAACAGACAGGCGAAGGGACGGAAAAAATGTGGTAGAAAAAAGTGTACAAGCTCTAGGGATAACCGCACCCTGCAGAGAATTGTGACGACAAACCCATTCAAAAATGTGGGGGAGATCCACAAAGAGTGGACTGCAGCTGGAGTCAGCGCTTCAAGAACCACCACGAGGAGACTCATGAAAGACATGGGATTCAGGTGTCGCATTCCGTGTGTCAAGCCACTCTTGAACAAGAAACAGCGCAAGAAGCGTCTCGCCTGGGCCAAGGACAAAAAGGACTGGACTGATGCTGAGTGGTCCAAAGTTATGTTTTCTGATGAAAGCAAGTTCTGCATTTCCTTTGGAAATCAAGGACCCAGAGTCTGGAGGAAGAGCGGAGAAGCACAGAATCCACGTTGCATGAGGTCCAGTGTAAAGTTTCCACCGTCAGTGATGGTGTGGGGTGCCATGTCATCTGCCGGTGTTGGCCCACTCTGTTTCCTGAGGTCCAGGGTCAATGCAGCCGTCTACCAGGAAGTTTTAGAGCACTTCATGCTTCCTGCTGCTGACCAACTTTATGGGGATGCAGACTTCACCTTTCAACAGGACTTGGCACCTGCACACAGTGCCAAAACCACCAGCACCTGGTTCAAGGACCATGGTATCCCTGTCCTTGATTGGCCAGCAAACTCGCCTGACCTTAACCCCATAGAAAATCTATGGGGTATTGTGAAGCGGAGGATGCAATACGCTAGACCCAACAATGCAGAGGAGCTGAAGACGACTATCAGAGCAACCTGGGCTCTCATAACACCTGAGCAGTGCCACAGACTGATCGAGTCCATGCCACGCCGCATTACTGCAGTTATTGAGGCAAAAGGAGCCCCGACTAAGTATTGAGTGCTATACATGCACATTCTTTTCATGTTCATTCTTTTCAGTTGGCCAACATTAGAGAAACAAACATTTTTTCATTGGCCTTTAGAATATTCTAATTTTCTGAGATACCAGATTTGATGTTTTCATTGGTTGTCACCTATAAATATCAAATTTAAATGTAATGAACATTGGAAATACATTGGTCTGTGTGCATTGCATGAATATAATGTACAAGTTTCACGTTTTGAATGGAATTACTGAAATATTTTCAACCTTTTGATGATATTCTAATTTACTGGCCAGCACCTGTATGTGCTTGAGGGAGAGTGTGCATGCAGAAAAACTGCTGAAACTCATCAGAGTAAATTAATACAGTTTTTCAATGGTGCTTGATTTCCAAAACCTAATGGTGTCTTCTGTTAGAACAGGTTATTAAAATGCATGAAAACACTCTTTCTGAGAGGTGAGATTCTGAACCGTACGTCCCCAATCTGTCACGGTCTGGCTTATAACATCCATACGGAAGATTTTGGGTTTACAGAGTTAGCTGCACTTTTCAAAAAGACGTAACATCAATGAGGGGCCTCGTTACACAAATACATTAATTGAATTAGTGTTAAATGACTAAATGTAATTCCATCTACGAGTGTCACGCTGCAGAACCTCACAAATCTATCAGCTGCTTCTCTGCACTTGTTTTCAAACGTGTGTGTGTGTGTGTGTGTGTGTGTGTGTGTGTGTGTGCGTGCGCGTGTGTGTGTGTGTCAGTGTAAAGGAGATGTAATTGGTAGATAAAGAAACAGTGGCGTGACTTGTGTCTAATGGCTTCATGGCCTTTGGATGCCCAGCCCCACTGCTGGCTGGATTAGGAAATTGACTGAATTGACAATCACAGCCCAACAGATGGAGAGTGAAGGCCACTGCCTAATTGTTCATTTGACTCCGTTTTTTTCTTCTTCAAGGACAACAGTTAGCCCTGAACTGAAAACGTATTACGAAGAAATTTAAACACAAAACGAACAAAAATCTATTCGTGGAATCTTGTTTTTTTTTCTCGTTACTTACTCGACTTGAACGAACTCACATTTCCTGCCAAACAACTGATAAGATACAACAACTTTTAAACCTAGCTTTAAGGGGTGAAGTTGCAATGTTTACTGTTGAAAAATATCAATAAAGCTGCTTCAGATATACGCCTAAGAATTTTTTGAATTTTATGTTTATGTTTATGTGCTTAGCAGACAAAGCGACTTACAATTTTTTTTTTTTACCTATAGGGCATGTTGTGATCTGTGGGGGAAACCGGAGTACCCGGAGAAAACCCACGCATGCATGGGGAGAACACGCAACTCCACGCAGAAAGGCCACAGCCGAGTTTCGAACCTGCGACCTTCGTGTTGCGAGGCAACAATGCTAACCACTACGTCACCATGCAGAATTTTAATTCCTTTTGAGCAATAACATGTATTTTCTTTACTTAAAAATCTGAAAATGTCGGCTGCTATGTTGAGATAAATGAAGATAAAAGCGTATTTCCCCTACAAGCACCTGCAGTTTGAGATTTAAATGTCTTTCGGCTTTTCTTAAAGATCCAAAAGATTATTTCATAGCTGAGTCTTAACCCTCTGGAGGCAGGCGTTGCAGATTTGCAAAGTTAAAGCCTACCTACCTGGTTACTCCACATTCGTATTTCATGAGCATTTTTTTAACTCAGAAGTACCCCTGAAGGACTTAGTTGTTCGTCCTTTTATCCAAACTTATTTTGAGCCTGAGAGGGTTAATACATTTCCACAAAGATTTAATACGCAGGGTTGGATTAGGCAAATTAAGTCCACTGAAATCAGGAATGTCTCTCTAGTAGTTTTGACACAGCACATATTATAAAAGCAAGGTTGAATAAAATATTAAAGAATTAAAGCTTCTTTCTTTTTATGCCCCTGGAATTTTTCTTTAGCTAAAAAAGTCATCACAGCACTCACACAGACTCCTTTCCATGGGATGAAAAAAGTATTTAAAGGAGCAATATGTGAGAATTTTACAGCGAATTAATCACAAAAAGTCTCAATGTCTCTTGTCATGTTGGAAGGCAGGTTACATTGTTTTTTTCCCCTGTTTTATTGTATGTTATTGAATATAAGAAATTTTTTGCTTGTTGTTTTTCTCCTTTCCACTGGCTGCAAGGCATGGACGTACTTTTTTTTGGGGGGGGGACATGTCCCCCCCACTTTTTCCAAAGTCAAGTTTTGACCCCTGCACTTTTTACCATCCAAAAACAATAGTACGCTATATTAAATTGACACTGGTTGAGCTCTAGGACCAAGAGAAAAACAACCATTTGTGTTGAACCCATTAGAGCAGAGCATACTGTAAAGACACCCCCCCCCCCCCCCCCCCCCCGTGTCCCCCTCACTTCTAAAGTGAAAATTACGTTCATGCTGCAAGGCGTCACGTTTTGGACGCGTCCCAGAAGCATAAAGACACGTTGCTAACGTCTTGAGACTTCTGTTTTTTTTTTTTTACCGGTTATGCTTCCCGAACACATCAAACTCCACAGACAAGAAGTCAAACACAAAAGCAGTATACAACATCCAGAAACTTTCTTATTTAAAGTCACGAGGAGATTTCCAGTTGTTTTCTAGTAAAAAAAACTTACAATTCCTGTGAAACCTCCACAGAAAAGGTACACGCTGCCATCTTTCTCCTGGCTTGTTATTGTGTGAACTTCCCGAAATCACGCGTGGTGTTGCAATTCTCCTGTGACTTTCTGACCACGCCGAACCAGCTGCGTGGAAAGCGTTCGCTCTTGTTTTCGGTGTAAAATGGTAGGAAGGAAGCTCGCGGGCAAAACGCCTCTATTACGTTTCACGCCGCTCACACGACTGGTGGAAAGGAGAGGCCAGATTACTCTACACTGTAACTGCTCTATCTTTTAACTTTGACACGTCTTCTTTTAAATCTAATTGTATTTGTTTACTTTAAACTTTATTTGTATGTATGGCTTAATGGCTTTTTGTCTCCATTGTTATTTTTGCACCCTTGTATGAAATGTGCTATATAATAAAGCTGCATTACCTTGTCTATTTATTGCAAACGAGGACAAAAAGGTAATTCAATTCTTATATTACTTTGCAACATTAAATAAAATGCGACAAAATATTAGGCATATGCTGTATAAATTAAATCAAGCCAGATAATGTTAGTAATGATGGTTAAACTAGCACTGAGCCATTTACATCCAACTAAAACCACAGTTAACCCAGTAATACAGACAATCTATTCACTACAGTTCAGCTTTAGTTTATTAAAGCATACATGAGTCTATTAAATATGGAATAAAAGCTAAAAATGCACCTTTTCTGTGATGATTCGATCCACACATTGTTTCCCCGTCAAAGGCAGGCTGCACTTCTCCAATATCTTGTGTTTTCCTCCCTGAAGAGAAAATTAAAAACAAAGGTCAGTTCTACTTGTCTATCAGTCACTTCTAACGGAGTATACCAGTTTTCAAGGAAGCCACTCAGGTTTTTACATCTACAAGGTAGCAGGTGGCCGTGTACGCCATATTTATACAAAGAACATGCACGACGAAAGCCTATTCTTCTGTCACCTATGAAAAAAATGCTGTCTGAAAAGGACACAACATACCTCCTCCACCCCTTTACCAGCCATGAATGAAAACAGGCTTTGGGGCAGTAGATTTATGCTCACCTGCTGCACCATCTGGACCCTAGCTGGGCGCCAGACAGAGTCCCATTAGCAAGAAAACAGCATGCTTCTGTTAATGCAGAAGGATATACTTCTCTTGCGTCATACTGGTCTGGACTTTCTAAAAGTAAACCAAAGCAGTCGGAAAGCTTGCTCCCATTGTATGAATCCTCTGGGTCATTCATCTCTAGCTGGAGCACGTCTGACTAATCAGCTCTTCCTGAAGTCCAAGTCCGGGCTTGTATTTAAATTAGCTGAACACAATTAAAGAGGGGGAGGTTTCTGTGCAAAAACTCATCAGGGTGAACTTGTATTCTTGGGAAAAAAAGCATTAAAGAATCTATTAACAGACTTTACTTCAGCGGGTATAACAATAACACTAATTATTTTAGGAAGCTGATATTTAGAGTGCTGGCATAGGAATCGCTTGAGGGAGAAGGTTATTACAAGCTGAATTTAAAATTGGGTTGTTGGTGACTTCTGAAGAAAAGAATGAGTTTCTTGTGTGATTTAAACTAGATTCAAGTCGTACACACTTAGTATGTTTATACACACCTTAGCGGAGTGCTCCATGGTTACCACAACCTTGGTTCCTGCACTAGCCACCAAATCCATGGCTCCTCCCATTCCCTTCACCATCTTACCCTGAGAATAAAAAATAAATTAATAAATAAGAAATAGACTTTAGTTTCAGTTCTTCAGTTTAAAGTTAGAAAACAATAGGAGCATAACAATACACTAATATATGGTCATTCACTGAAGGACTGGAATGATCAGTTTAAAGACTGAAGGCAGAGAGGAAAATTATCTCAGTCTGACCCAAACAAATTCTTGTTATCTGAATCTGATGCCCTGGTTCCCATCAAAGAGCCATTATTACCCGTTTCCCACAGTAAAGAAAACACTGGGATTCACAGCAGCCGCGGCGTTGTGGGCGGGGCCTACCCTCAGACAGCAGAGAGCTGCTCACAACAGGTGACAGCAGCCAGTACCGGTCGCTCGTGTACGTCAAAGCTATCTTTCATAAGACGATAATCAATAAAACGATTTATATAAAATGGATCCAGAAGTTGTAGCCCGTCTCTGCCGACAATATTTTGATATTTTTCACCCTGTTGGTGGTTTTACTGAGCAGGTGCCACTTTTGTCATACATTTCTTTTTAAAACATGTTTAGACTGTTCAGAATACAAATCCAGGCTCTGTCACGTTTGATTGTTGTAATTAAACTTTGTAGGTGGGGAAGGTCAGAAAAGGATCCGATCATTTTTTTTCCCCCCTCATTTACAGAGACGGAGATAACGGCGCAGTGCGCCTGGCTCTGGTGTTAATCAAGTTTAATTTTATCTCTTTGCAACAATTTTCACAAGAAAACAGAACAGTTAAAAGCAGGGCTTGTGTTGACCGGACACTTCCCATATTTGGCCGTTTATTTTGACGGAGAAAGAATAGAAAGAATTACCCCGACGCATGCAGACGAACTGACACTTTTTCGTTTCGCAAATCGCAGATGTAGCTAAATCACTCAAGAAAAGATTTCCTTCTGAACATCTGAGCTGGACACTGCTCAGCGCAGCTCACTGTCAGCGTGTACATAAGGTGCATAGCGAGCTGAAGATGTGTAGAGGGGCTTGGAGCGCGTTGCAGAACCAGAGCGCATGCGGGAAGATTCCTCCAACTGAAGCGAGAGTTTTCCAAACCCGGTCTCTCAGAGAGACTTGTCACTTAGAAAATGTTCCCTGATGATGAAACTTTGGCTGAATTGTGCTTGTTCCTGTCTCCAATGTGGCGTCTGAGGAGAATCCCAGAATCTCACATCGTCTTCAGCTCAGAAAGCGCCGATATGATTACGCACAAGCGTGACGCGTCAACCCGGTCACACAGTAGACCGGGTTGGACCCGTTCAGGTTTACGCAGACAATCTTTACATTTAGAATTAGCTTACAGATATCAAATTTATGCAGTAAAATATAAAGCATTTTATTTAAATATCCATTCATTATTTTACAAGCACAGAGAGCCGCATCAGATGGATGGAAGAGCCGCATGCGGCTCCAGAGCCGCGGGTTGCCGACCCCTGAGCTAGGGCATGTGCAGAGGACACACACACACACGCACACACACACACGCACACGCGCGCGCACACACACACACACACACACGCACACACACACACACACACACACACACACACACACACACACACACACACACACACACACACACACACACACACACACACACACACACAAGCAAAATATACTTGTTTTCAATTACGTTTATTGGGCCCACTTACATTTTCGTAGGCCCACCCACAAATGAGTTTCTGGCTACGCTAATGGTGACTTTTGACAGATTTCTCTGAGCTCCGCAGCCATTACACTTTTCACCTCGCGCACCCCCTAGCGGCAGCTCGCGCACCACACTTTGGGAATCCCTGAGGTAGAGCGACTCGGGTTGCGAATGATCACAGTCACCAGTTCTTGTCATGTGTCTTGCCCATGTATGTCTGATCTCTGAATTGTGTGTACTGAAACTCTAATTTCCCTCTGGGATTAATAAAGTATTGATTGAGTGACTGATTGATCCAAAATGCAAAAATTCATAAAATAACTATATCAGAGGCATTTATTCTTTAAAATTACTTTATTTTTACATTCCGCTGAAATGCCGTTTTCCACTTGTTCCACACATCACAAAAACGTGTTAAACGAAGAAGCTAGCGGGGTCATGGCGAGCGGTGAGAAAACAGTGAAGAAATCGTCTCTCCTTTGTGAAACGATTGAGTCACTTTCCGCTTCCTGTTCTCAAGTCCCGTTGTGACCATCGCGTGATTTTCCATAAAGCGTTCAGCTGCGTAGTGAGTCCTGTGTGAGCATTTGCCTACCCAAAACCGCGGCTCTTCCGTGGCGTAGCGCATCTGTCTTCTGTGTGCCCCAAGCTTAAAAGTGTTGAAATCAACTCTGACGGTGTTAATTTGAGGATGCTGAATTTGCTGCGTAGAAGCTAAGATTAGCGGCATTTGGTGGATTTGCAGATGAAGACAAAAATATGGAAGAAAAGTTTTTGCAAAAAACATGAAACAATGCTGTCAAAATCAGGGCTTAGTAACTAATAGGTCACAGTATAGTCATTTGATTAAAACAAATATTATTTTGATTAAAAATAAACTACAGTACATAAATTGCATGTTTTGTTTTCTTTTTACAGAAACCAAGTAAGCAACTAAAAAAAAAGAGGAACAGTTATCCCAAAGATCATCACCACAACAAATTTGTCAGCTGAATGAAAAACTGTCCATCAGTCTTGCATTGTTCCCGCAAAAGCCGGTTTCCAAATAAGGACGGCTGACACGCTGATATGGCCACAGGGTGACGGCTCAGTAACTGAATTAAAATCCCATTTCCTCATCAGTCATGTGAAGAGCCTGTTTTGCTCGCTGCTCAATAACCTGAGGAAATATATGCCAAGAGTGTGGTGCATCATACTGTCTGCCAGCTGGATGGAGAAGATATGAACTGAGAGCAGAGAGGAGGTTCAGGAGCCATGAGGTGTTCCAGAGATGTGGGGGAAAGCACCAGCTATGCATGGAGCTTGCCGTATTATCCTATCGGGTACCCATTATGATTATCCTGCTTCAGCAGCATAAAACACTAAAATCCAATAGAAGGAAATGTGAATTTTAATTGTTAAGACATTTCATCTAAACTTTCTTCAGCGTGATCCATCATACAGCAATAAAAGATGATGCTCTGAAAGGAAACAGCTTTTCTCATGTAATCAAGATTAATGGGATTTATGACGGTCGGAGAGCAAAGTGATATGTGAACAGGTCTTAATGGATAACACTGTTGGACCTCTTGGCAGAAAAGTGGGATTTATATGTGTTATAAGAGCTGTACACCTGCTAATGGACTCCACCTCAGCTGTCATTAATCAAAGAGGGCCTGTTTTTAGGTTCATAATCACAATTGTGTTAAATCATCTAGGGAAAGAGTAAACCCAATACTGATTAAAGATTCTTTAATCTGACCCCAAGTGGTAGATAACATTTCCAATTAACCGTTTTTTATGAATTGAACGAGGTTAATGACTTCAATCAACTCCTGATAACTGCTGCGTCCCATTATTCATCCCTTTGCATGATGGCCCTACAGACTGATAGCTGGGTTGTGCCAACTGTGCTGTTGAAGTATCTGTATTGTGTTTTTCTCTTCAGAGAAGCTAAACCAGGGGCCTCATTTATCAAACAGAAATAAGCCTATATGCCATCCTACAAATGAAATCTTAAGAGTTCGTACGAATGGCCAAAACCCTGATTTATAAAACATGGGGTGGCCACTTGTACGCATGTTCCTACGTAATCGAGTGATGATAAATCCCACCAGTGCATACCCAGATGCTCGTGTCCATTGACAGTCATACAGAAACACCCTGAAGTAACCATTTTTGGTCACACTGCGTTCTCAGCTCATGAGGGAAATCCCTGCGTTCTTCCTGAAAGGAAAAATAAACTTTATTGACGGCGAAATCGAAGCACTGGCTGCTGAAGTAGAAGAGTAGCAAGCAAGTTGCAGAGGCTGTAAACACGGTCGGAAAAGGTGGTTTTGGTCAGAAATAAAGAAAAACTGACTGTGAACTGACATTCAGGCGGACTACCTTTTCACAGACTGCTCTGTCATACCAGGGAGTGACATTCTGGAATAGTCTTCCACTATCTGTGAGGGAAAGTACCAATCTAAACATCTTTAAGAGTCGCTTAAAACAGCGGCTGAGGGACACACAAACATGTGATCATGTCTAATATTTATATTTCATATTTGTCCGGGAAAAGAGTTGGTACAGTATTAAAAGGGAAACAACTGCTAGTGTAATGGGTGAATGTAATCTCACGACAGTCAGGGCATATGCAGTATCGGGGTTTGTGCAATACAATTGATGTGTTTCCGTTATTGCTGTCTATGTTGTTCTCTGTGTCCACTTTCTTTGACATTTGTTTGTGTTTGTATAATGGGATGACAGTTTTTGTCTCTGTCACATGACTTGTAAATACTATCTCTGTATGTTTACACTACTTTGTGTCTAACATCAACCTGCCGGAGGGTCTGCAGATGGAAATTAGCCCAAGGCTATAATCTGGCATATTTACATTTATTGAAATGTTCATTAATATGTATTGACCCACTTCCTAAATAAATAAATAAAATTTCAAAATTTCAAATTTCAAAAAAATGGTTCAACATGAAACTGAATATGAAAATTCGTAGTTTAACGGACTGGATGTTCCCTTACGTTGCCATTTACAGGCTAACATTTAAGGAGTGGCATGCATGTTCCCTTTGGAGTTAGTTTTGTTATTTGGAAGTGTTTGTTGTCTGAGAGAGCAGCCTCTTCTGAGCTGTCGTTCAGTTTGGTTACCTTGGCAACACATGTATAATCTGGGAGCAGAGGAGGTCCTGGGGGGGGTGCATTGTTGATAAAAAGTAGAAGTTGGTCTGGAGTTGGATTTGTGTGGTTTGTCTGTTGCTGCACATTGGGTTCCAAATTATGGTATAGCTCCAGAAGGATCTCCTTCAGGAATCAGATCAGTGTGGAGGACATGTTCCCGCCAGAGCGCACACTCCAACAGCCTCCAACAGCACAAGA